ACAGACATTCTAAATAAAACAACAATCACTAAAATTTAGCTACTTCCTTCAAGGAGCCCAATTTTCCATTTTAAGTGAATTCAAAAGGAGTAACATTCCACCAAGGTCCTGTGTATTACCAAACTTTTTCTATGTCTGGTGCACATTTTGGACTCAAAAATCAACATCTGCAGACATAACTGGAGCAGTAAGATCAGTCTAGTTTAAAATCAAGAGTTATTTTTAAGTGTAACACAAGAAAAGGCTTTTCAGAAGGGGCACCACTTAGGTGTGGAGCAGTTAGGTCTGGGACGCCTGTTCACATCATCAACGCTCTTTGAGATGTTGAGCTGAACGCGAGGCTCGCAGCAGCAGTATCACATTCCCAGCACTCGGGGCCGGTGTTGACAGGACCGCATTACCATGTCTGTACGGGAGACCTTCAAATACACCGTTATACATAAAAACCAGGTGGTCACAACCAGAAGGCATGCTATGTGAAATGCATGCTGAACTGTTCTACAATAGCAGTTGTCTGTTCCAGTCAGATCCCTGAGATTGACTCAATGCAAGCTGTCACATCTAAATCCTCCCATTCCACCACCATTTCCTGCCTTAACGGGGTCGCCGGTATTTCGATAAGGCCGATGCAATTTTGGTTGGACTTGTCAATGTACCTAAGGAGCACCCATCCAGACACATCATCTCAGGAAAGGGAAGTCTCGCCTCTCCGTCTAATGGGCTACGGTTCGGGAACGTTGTGGTTTTGTGATGCATATCAAACCGTGACCTTTGCCCTCGTGTTTGTTTGATCTGCACGTCTCAAGGTTCCAAATTCTAACTGATCCCACCGCTCAGATGTAAATTATTTGCAATGTTTCAGCACTTCCAAACACACTATTTACATTCCATGCATTGAAGTCTCGTGTAAACTTGCAAACAAAATGAACTTCCAGCACTTTGTTATTTAATGACAATCAAAAGTGAAAGCTAAGAGCCTTCAGACACATTTATTGCTGAAAAATGCCCATTAGTAACCACATAAGAAACCCCTCTATTTTTCACAGTAAACCTGGTGAACTCCATAAGTTCATGTCGGTGACTGGTGTGTTGCAATTTCCCGTGAAAAGAAATAAAGAAATATTCTTAATAAAATCCCAGAAGATTTACAAAAGGAAATGTTTATATAGAAATAAAATCTATGTGCTTAATATACGGCTTTCTATGCACACGTTTAGTATCAAATACTATCGTTCACCATTCTAAAGTTATATATGTGTCTACCAACACGATCCCATTCTAGATACATGAATGAGAATTAGTCTATCCACCAAGATGCAGGTCACATGTATTGGAAAACATTATAAATGTGACCCAGAACTGTTACTTAAGGATGCATCGCACATGAAGGCCATCACTAAAAACCTGTAATAGCTACTTTCGGGCTCGCTTTCCTCTCATACTCACTGTCATGTCATTGACTTTGCCACGGAAACCGCAGGCATGCCACACTGTCTGATCATCCAATCAGCATTCTCCACTCGTCATTCAAACTCCGGGGTAAGGCCAATGAGGGGGCTTTGGTTCAGCTACCCTCAGCTGTATGAATCCGACACCGAGAGACTGTCACTGTTCAACTCTGTCCTGCTACTTCATTTATCTGTCCCACTTACTCTAAGTGCTTCCAGACTGGATTTAAACTTCCTCCGAGCTGTGGGAATTGCACTGAGATCTTCTGGCTATTTCACAGGGGTGTCAGAAGTGATTGTGGTGTCAATGTGTTTTTTTGGCATGCTAAATGTCAGATTTCTGTTTTTATTATTTGGTGTCTTCGTTTTTGCCCTGGGTAAGAACCACTTGCACCTGAGCTACAAGTGCAAGTTCAGTTTCAGTCTCACAATATCTGTTCACCACTGAGTAAACTCTGCGTCAATGAGGTGGTCCCTCAAAAGCAGGACTAATTTTCCAACTGAGTTGTTGCCTTTTACCTACTTAATTATACTCAACTAAGGAGGGTGGTGTCTGGCTGAGTGGGTTAGGGCACTGTGTCTATAATCAGAAGGGTGCTAGTTCAAATCCCAAGGTCTGCCAAGTGATTTCACCATTAGTCCTGCAAGCATGGCCCTTAATTCTCAGTTGCTTGAGAGACTGTCTGACCCTGCTTTCTCAAGATTGCATGCTGTTTAGGATAAAACTATCTATTAAATATGTAACTGGAACATTTACAGCCTTCACTGTACAACATTAAGGTGCCCATGAAATTGAATTTTTGTGTTTTGTGTTTATTTCTCTTATTATTAAATGCATCAGCCTCCATGCTACAGAATTAGCTAGCATGTGTGTTTTACAATTGTTATATATCTGAAGTTTGCATTTGCTTTTTCAAGCTCCCAAACAGGCCACTGTGGTCTGACCTTCATCTCCGACATTAATCATCTGGCCCCGTTTCACATCTCTGAGATGAGAGGCCTTTCCCTTTTGACTGCCCATCCCTCTCCATGTATTTAGACTAAACGTGTTACTGTACACGCCTGTGTTTATTATGATTGGGGGCAGTCTGAACACCATCTGTGTAGCCATGGTACCCCATGGAGCCGAGGAACGTGGAGGAACACTATGGCGGACGCTCTTCTGAAGGTTTGAGGGAGCATGCAGGAGCAGCCCCCCGGCGAATGCTCTTCTCAGGATCCGGGGCAGCTTGGAGGAGCAGCCTCAGGCTAATGCTGTCCCCAGGGCCTCATCCCTGAATGGCTACGCCTCCCTGCTCTCAATCCCTATTTAATGACAGACAGTTAAACAAAATAAATGGTGACCATCTGTAATGAAGCGCTTAAGTCAGACGCCAAGCAGGATTTCTATTTTAATTTTTAGCGACCATTTTATTGGCCGCGGATGTGGCTTCTAAGGGCTGTAGGAGGCAGCTGCATGACTTGGGAGATTTTGCACAAAGATCCAAAAAGATCTGCTTTCCTTTATATACAGAGAGCAGCTCATTTCTGCTTTGACTGAGCCACTGCATGAGAAGCAGCACTTTGTGACTCTCTCTTGGGAGTAAGGGGTACGGGACCATAAAGGGACAGGGCATTGGGCTCCGTGTTTATTTGGGAACACCCAGGGGAAAATGAAAGAGAGCCGCTTTGCCGAGAATGAAAAAATATGGGCGCTTGGATGTGACCTTCTGGTGATAATGCAGGGGAAGGGGAGAGAGCCTCACAGACAGATGAGGGTGTGGTCATGTTTACTGGGGCGGGAGAGAGAAAATAAACCCTTAAAGGGACGAGTGAGGCAAGGAACAGGTAGAATAAATCAATGCAGCTGGCCTGGTCCCTCGACACACTCCCTCCCCCCAGCGGTAATGCTAAATGCAACAATGTGGTTTTGCAAAACTTAATTGTCTATTGCCAAAAATGTAAGGTATTCCTGCATGTAAAGCTGCCAGATTCCTGCAGCATGCAGGAGGCTGCAGTGAGCCCATGTTCTGAAGAGGGCGATATCTGTATTCAAGGCTCATTAAAGTAGAGAGTTCGGGAAAAGTAAGTCCAGACGACAATTTAAAAATATTTGAAAAATATAGCAAATATTTGATCACCTTTGCAGGTGAAATTCTAATTTCCTTTTTGGACACCAGGTTCCTTAGGGGTTAAGGCTGGCCATCGAAATCCCAATAAAAGGTGTAGCATTTAATTATAAATATAAACACAACATGATTATGAGTGAAAGCTTTGTATTTACCAGCCTGTACCTCCAATGTTAATATGAATTAGACACAAATGTTCTGAATCTGCTCTGAGTTGTATAACATTAATGTATGGCTTACATATTATTTATCTTTGAAAATACTGGAGGTAGATGACAGGAACCAGCACCCAACATTTAGGTACCAGTTTAAAAATGTAGACCAATAGTATATGTCTGTCTTTGCAGTTACTTATAAACTTGGATCGGGGCGTAGTCTGTGTCTTTGCTGTGACTTATTTCTGGCAGGGAGGTCTTTCAGTAAATATCACTTTAAGACCTAATTAAATATAATTTTTGTACTTGTAAATCAGATATTTTAAGAGGGGATCGGGTGACGTGTGTTGATCTTTCATCATCTTTGGTGGGGGATGGGGGATCTGAATGGCTCGGCTTTGATGGTTAGTTAGCGCTTATTGTTGGTGTCTGTCAGTAGGCATCACGCTGCAGGCTTTAAACTAACCATGTAGCCAGTTAGCGTCACTCTTATTCATAGGTGCAAGCAAAGACCACACTTACCGTCACAAGGCCGTGGCACATTTCATCATAATCTTGGTGGACACATCTTAAAATAAAAAAGGCTGAAAAACTTAATGGTAGTGACTCAAAATCACGAAACGTTTATGGTAATTAGCCTACTCAGAACTATTTAATTGCAGCAGACAATGCCACTGAGTGTTACGCAACGTACTATACTGGAGGATTACTTCTGACCCGTATTTGTGGTGATTTTCATCTTTTATTTGAGAAAACACTAAACATACAGCCTTTGTGAAAATGTACTTGACTGCTGTTGCTGCTACAGTCAGTGCTGCAGTCTGGGGACGTCGTCATGCTTGATCACGGTGATCGCAGCTTTAGTGATCTTATTTCAAAGCAAACAAACACCGGCAAAGGCGCACAGGTTCCCGAAACCCCCAACAGCTCCAGGGTCGCCGTGGCTGGGGATCCAGAACAGTGCATCAGACCTGTGGTTTGAGGAAAGTGCCCACGGCGATGTGCAGCCCACGGCGATGTGCAGCCCCTGATGCACTGCTGGCATCTCCCCTCAGCTTCTGCAGACATGCCAAACCTTTGACACAGTAAAATGGATCCCGAGCAGGACAGGAATGTCTTGTGGTTAAAAAATCATGAATCTCCTCAAAGCTTTTTCTCTGCATTCAGACACCGATTTATGAACAATAATTTATATATATATATATATGTGTGTGTGTGTGTGTGTGTGTGTGTGTGTGTGTGTGTGTGTATAAAACACAGCATTATTTCATTGATTTCAGCAACATTTGTGTGGTCAGGCTTTTTTGTAGGTCTGCATTGGCAAATGCCTACTGTTTTATTTGAGCTGAATTATTGTGCCAATAATCATCATACGCACATCACATAACCATTTGATCATCGGAAGCGTACTGCATGCCTGATAAAACCGACCCCAGATGGCCATAAACTAACTTATTATAAACTATATTCAAAAGAGTGTTTATAGTGTTTGTTTAAACTGTTTCAATGATCTTTCATATTTTAACACACAATTAATCAGATTTTATAAGCACACCAAAAGTTATCATATTATTTAAGGAACAACGCAAAAATATATAGAACAATATCACACAGAGTACAATTTTTTACATTTATAATAAATTCATTTATGCAAAAAAAAAAAAATTAAGAGATCTCTTTCATATATAAATATAATGTTGCTAGAGTGCATTTCATCCAAAAGCAAGATTCAAATCAATGACAACATAATACCTGCAGCTACAATCAAACTTCATCGCACTTCATAGTTTACAGTCACTAATCGATGGTTAATTTAGGTCTGAGATTGCGTCTTCGTATAATAAACTGTTCTACCGTAACGGCAAACATATTTTCAAAGATAAAGTTTCAAATAGCGACCCTTTTTTGCCAGAAAACGTAGCTGAACCAGACCAGGCTAGGAGGCCACTGATCTCAGCGAGCTAGACTGAGAAGCGTATCAGACTGACAAAGGACAGACGAAAATGGCAATGGCATGCATCTCACTGGATATATGCATCTCACTGGATATATGCATCTCACTGGATATATGCATCTCATTGGATATATGCATGTCATTGGATATATGCATCTCACTGGATATATGCATCGCTCTGTGTATCTGCATTTCACCATTTCACTTCAGCCTCTTAGCCACATCCAGGTAGGCCAGCTCAATCTCCCTGTCAGCCGCGCAGGTGTTGGTGACCTCGTCCCTGCTGTAGGCATTCTGCAGGTACCTCCACACCGCTGTCAGCTCTGCCGGGATCTCGTAATTGCGGTATTTCTTTGCGACGACCTGGCAAAGGCCGACATATGGATTAAAACCAAATGATAATTTTCTAAATACATTTTACATTTCTATACATACAAGCAGACACAAATTGCATTATGGGGACCTGATAATACCTGATAATTTTTGCCTTTTGGGGACATTTTTCCAGTACTCACGGGAAAACTCAAAATCTGTGACGGCAATCAAAACACTAAAAAAGTCAAAAGTCTTGCATTTTGTTTGGTTACTTGTGGTCAGAGTTAGGTTTGTCATATTTAGGATTAGGGTTATGCTCATAGAACGGAGTCAACATAGATATAAGATCATGCACTGCATGTGTGTGAGTATATAAAACATTTCCATTCTAATAGCTATAAAAAGATTTAGCTGTACCTTAACCCTGTCAAACGTGCTGTGTTTTTATTTTACACATAACCCCTTTGTACAGCTGGATCTTCCATTCGAGACCCCCATGTGCAGGAGAGCGCGTGGTGGGGAAGTGCACTGCTAATGCCCCCCCCCCCCCCCCGTACCTTGACGATGTGCAGCTTTGGCAGGAGGTTGCAGTCAGCCAGAGTCAGCTCGTCTCCATCCAAGAACTTGCGGTTGGACGTCTTCTCGTCTTCCATGCTGTCAGCATCGATCTCGTCCGGGAGCGGAGTGTTTAAGTAATCATCCAGTCTCTTAAGAGCCTTGACTAGGCTCTTCTCAAGACCTGTAAGTTTGTACAGAAACAACCAAAACATGTTACATTAACCTTCGAAAAAAATATCGTTTTGCCCAGTTTTGTTTAACTGGATTATATCACTATATCTTTCTGTTTCATATGGTCATAATATATGCCTGCTGTTGTCAGCTTAAGTTCCCATTAGAAACCTGCATACGATAACTGTTGTGCTTCTAAATACGACAGACAAAAAAATTTGCGTTACAGTTCATGGTTGACAAATCCATCAACCTTTTCCACTGTAAATGCTATTTGACAGATACAAAAGTAATACATGGAAATACATACAGCACTTCAGAGTTAATTTCTGATGTTTCATGGTTTTATACAGGCCAAAAGGTTTTCATTTATTGCCCGTGAGAAATTTCCCAAAATCTCTTCCATTTTCTATTTTAACTTGGAATAAAGTATTTAACTCCCATTGAAATATCCAGCTGAATGAACGGAACAACTCTGAAAGTCACTTTAGATGACAGCATTAACTAAATGGAAATGTAACAAAAAATTTAACCTGGCTTCACATTTTAAAATGTAATTTACTTTTGTTCCACTAGATGGTAGCAACGGCAAACACATTATTGTTATTACTACTGTTTTCATGGATATGGACGGATTCTGCATATCAATTTTGTACTCGGTGGGTGTTTTTAATAAGGTAAACCTGCTTGGTAATGCAAGCAGCCTGTTACAAACAGTTAATCATGTGGCTTTGACTGAATACATGCATCATCCAAGATCAAGAGGTTCCACTACTGTGCAGCTAAACATTACAATGGCTAAGATGTATGACCTGAGTGATTTTAAATGGGGTGTGAATGTCATATGTGGTAGTACCAGGCTCAGAGAAACAGCTGTTCTCTTGGGATCTGCATGCATTACAATCACATCCAGTCAATGATTGCGACTAGAAACACCTTGTTAATGAGAGAGGTCGAGGGGGAGAATGGCCAGACTTGTTAAAGCTAACAGGAAGGACACAAGTACAAAATGGTGAGCAGAATGGCTTCTCTGAATGCACAACTCATCAACCCTTGTCATGGTCCTGGAGGTAAAAATCAGTCTTACCTGGAACTAGCTAGATGCACCCAATACAGTGGCTACTGATTTTAGCTGGCAGCTAGACGCATAAGGAGTAGATTTAAAATATGCTTTTTGTCATTAATGTGCAAAACCTGACCTAATTAACCAGCAAGTGCCACAGTATCACACACACGTTGTGTATTCCTGCACAAAACCTCAGGTGACACCATCCTACCCACCTGGATTAGCTTCTGGTTTCGTGTTTTTAATGTACGCCGAGAACTTGGCAAAAATGTCGTTTCCTGCGGTGTTGGACTCCCGGTGCTTTGACGCCAGTCTGGGGTACCTGCGTGAGGCACATCGGATTACTTTAACCGTGACATTCCTGCTTTTCCAGGCCGGGGCTGCCCTTAAAGTCAACAGCTCCTAACAAGAGTCTAATGTGAAACCATCTGAAAGATCAGTTGCATTCTCGGCAGGGTGCGCATACCTGTCAGGCTTGGTCACCTACTGCCAAGATGGGGGTTTAATCATTAGGCCACATCGATTTCCAGATGCAGTCAATCACACAATGTTAGATCAATGGCACATAATAAAAATGAAACACAATCAGCTACATACACACAGCATTGTCTATCAGGTCCTCATAACAACTACATTTACATTCAGCTGATGGTCAAGATACTTGAAACAAACAAGTAAACAAATAAGATGTTTTTGGACTTTTCTTTTGTCAAATTAAGTTATGAAAAAAACTCCACCCACACACACACACACACACACACACACAATAACCCTAACCCCAACCCAGCAGTCACACATTTTTTATAACACTGAGTTTCCCTTAGTGGGAACAAAGTGAAAACAACAGGTTTTTAATACATTGTGTGGACATTTGGTCCCCACAATGTAATATTTACATGACACACACACACACCCCCCATGAGGGGAGCTACTTTTACATTATTGCACTGAAGTGACCCTGGCTGCTGTATGCAGCAGTCACGCCTGTCCTCCATCACAAGTGGGTCGGAACTCTTACTTTGGGGGTGCCAGAACCTCCTCCAGGAACTCCTCGATCTTGTTTACGTCAGTTTTGACTTCGCCATTGAAGGTGAGGAAAGGCGGGTGGGTTCCTGGGGCAAGGTTATGCAGGTCAGCTGGCTTCCTGGACACAACATGAACAGGCTGGGCTCAGTCCCCAGGAAGGCTTAGGCAGATAAAGAAACGATTACTTTAATTTCCATTGTGGGAAATTATGTGAACACTTAGCATTATGTTACATTTATCGAAAATGAGGTGTAATATGAAAGCAGGTCAGACGGTCTCTGGAGCAACTAGATTTGAGACCCTTGTTCAAGGGCCCAGCAGTGACATCGCTCTGCAAGCTACAGGATTTGATCCTGCAACCTTCCGATCCCAGGCGGAAAACCCTAAATGGCACACACTCCTTCCACAAAGGCCACTTCTTGAATTGTGCAATAAATTTTCACGCCTGGAAACCCATTCAGCTACTAAAACACTGTCAGAAAAAAGTGTCAGTTTGTCATTGGGGTTGTACCCTCAAGAGTCTGCCAATTGTACCATAGCTGTACGTAAATGTACCTCTTTTTTGGTATAGACATGGACTCCAAGGAACATCCCCAAGGTACAAATAACATCCCTCAGAGTCCAGTTCTCTACCTTAAAAGGTACAATTACCTACAGCTAAGGGTACAATTGGCGGTGACAAGCAAAATACTCTTTTTTTCTAACACTGTAACAAAAGCACAATTAAGAGATATACTACCCTGCCGACCCCTGACCTTTGACCTCTGACCCAGGCAGCATACCTCTTCAGGTCAACAGTGGTAACATTGAAGACGACCCCCTTCAGCCAGAGGATCATGAAGATCCTCTGTGAGAAGGGGCAGTTCCCGATGCTCTCGCCGTCGCTCCCCGCCTGAGGGTCGCAGGATGAGACAGGCTATCAGTGGCAATTCCGTTTTCAGGCCAACAGCAGTGCACGTCACTCATTACAGTGCACGTCACTCATTACAGTGCACGTCACTCATTACAGTGCACGTCACTCATACTGTCCCCTGTCTACTGGAGTAGCCCAACAACAAAAATTCTGACCCAAAAATCCAATCTCACAGACATACTTGGAATGGTCCTTCAGTGGAATACAGCAGAATGCGCACAGTATATAATTTATTGGAATTATCTTATAAGCACCCTTTTATTTTTGCGGGAATGAAAGAATATTATTTTTCCCAATACTAGGCTGCATGAATGATTTATGTGTTCATGAAGTCTTAAGAGACTGTGGTGTTACACAATCATGTACAATACTAGTTTCCTCTCTTGCTGAAATATGTCTTCGTGCAAGGCATAATATGTAGTAGCACACAGGTATCCTATTCAGGGTATATCCCAGTCTAGTGCACTAATTTACCAGGGACAGACAGACACCGGGATCCCCAGGGACAGACAGACACCGGGATCCCCAGGGACAGACAGACACCGGGATCCCCAGGGACAGACAGACACCGGGATCCCCAGGGACAGACACTGGGATCCCCAGGGACAGACACCAGGATAAGGGGTTAGAAAATGTGTTAATGGGTCCTTGTAAGTCACTGGGGTCCCTATGGTGTGTTTAAATGTGCGGTGATTTTATATGTATGCTGTTTCATACCATTAAAACATTATTAACTTTATTAAAATTACTACACTATGTTATAGAAGCCTGTTACGCAGTCATGTGACCTCCAAGCCTCAGGTAGATATCATGGGATTTCTGCCAACACAGACTGCAATCGCTGACTTATTAATGCATAACCAATATTTATCTCCTGGGAGTCACAACATAGATTTACCCCTGCAAGGCATTTTACACTTGCTGAATGAACCACATGAACCTACATGTGTTTTGTTTACTTGACATTAAGTCCACGTAATTAGATATTCAAAAGGCGCGGTAAATCAGCCCTCTACAGGTGCTGGTACAGGAATCACAAAATTTCCGTAACTGCACTTGGGGCGGATGACTCGCGGTCTCTAGTCCCAATAAGATGTGTTGTGGAAATTTAAGCCCGTCACTGGATCCTCAGAACACTTTTAATTATGCATAACAATTCCATTACCTGCTCCATTAGCCTCTGAGGCTGTCAGTTTGTAGCTAACCTTTTCCTCAGAATATTCACGCTAAAATTCCATTCCATCTTCATGCAAAAAGCCCCTTTGATTAGCTACATCTACAGCCAGGTGATCGCTATGAATAGACATCCCTGAAGTAATCATCATAATGAAAACACCTCTTTGTATGGTCAACATGAATCCCTGAAATCAGAATGCGTAACTGAGTGTTTCACAGATATAGATATCACAGAGGACATTATTACGTGTAGGTCATTTCAGAGTTAAACCCGAACTGATCATGCACTGATCACTGACTGATGACAGGTATTTATGCTTGTGATGCACAAACACCCATCAGTGACCTGCAGCTAAAACAATACAATACGATTAACCCTGTCAAGAGTTCCAGGAAAGGTGAACGAACGGAACCAAAGGCGCAGACTAGTACACCGAATTACGGTGTGTTTCAGTTCCTCATAAATGATCGTCTACATTCGGGTGCACGTATTCTTCACAGAACCTAGTCAAAAGTTCACGATAAATGAACTCTAATCATATTAAAGTAATATACCGTAATACTTTAAAATGAAACATATAATGATTGAATTAATACCATGTCATAGGGCCTATTTTCATATCCTGAGACACGTTTTGTGTAGTGATTCTTTTTTTTCTTGCAAAGTTTAAGCGCCTTTCTTCTGGCTGGGTTTTTTGTCTGTATATATGTGTATTTTGTTCAGGGGTACTGAAGTGCAGAAACACTGCGAGACTCGTAGCTAACAGCGTGACGAGTTCGGTGCTTTTGCAGATAAGCGGATACCCAATCTGTTTTGCTCAGAAAGTCGCCTTTCTGCGCGGGGAGAATGAGGGCTGGAGATCAGCCGTAAGGTGATACACAGCCTTTGATGGGACCCAGTGGGGTCTGAGGAGACCCACGGGCCTGACACACGGCTGCTCCTGGCGACTCGGCGGGCGGCTGCGGAGAGCGCGGGGGTGGCTCAAACCGCCGCATGCTAAAAATACACACGGACCGCCCAAGAGCGTTCGCCATTTAACGTTGCTGCTCATGCATAAGCAATAGACTTACATTAAAATTTATCGCATTAAACACCGCAAGAACAAAGATAAAGACTGAGAATATATTATTTATAAAATTGTATAATGTGTATGGAAAATATGAACCAGTATCAGTGCAGATGTCATTTATGATGGTGCAGTGGATAGCACTGTTACACAACACATCCAGGTTTGGGGATTTCAGTACAAACTCGGCTTTCCTTCCGGAGTTTGTATGATCTTGCCGGGTCACCTGTATTTCCTCCGGGGACTCCGCCTACGTGCGCTTAGGCGAACTTGGCTTCATTAATCCCCCCCAAACAAATAGTCCTTTATGTTTAAATTAAGTTCTATCCCCCCTCCCCCCAGATACCCAACTCTGTCTTTTGCCGTAGCAAAGTGTGTACGGTTGTGTGGGAGAGCATGCAAGTGCATGTGAGTGCATGTAAGTGCATGTGAGTGCATGCAAGTGCATGTGAGTGCATGTAAGTGCATGTGAGTGCCCTACGATGGAGCAGCTTCCCGTCCGGGGTCTACCCCAGCCTGGTACACTGTGCTGTTTGACGTAGGGCATTTGGCCAATGAGTTACAGACTTGCTGCATGCAAATTGACGAGTTCATCTTTTTTCCCCGTGTCCCGTTTCGTGTTTGACCTGGATTTGACTTTGGAAGAAATCTGTTTTACACTCAGTAAATTCAGAAACACCAGAGTGTCCCCTGACATTGCCAACCCCCCCCCCCCCCCCCCCCCCCCCCCCCCCCCCCCCCCCACCCCAGACACCTGCTGCTCTGAATACTCAACCTGCATTTAAAACCCCCCACTCCTCTTCTGTACACCCACGTTCACTTCCAGGTTCAATAGCTGGCATTTATTTCCCAAACAGTGTGATTTGTAAGCGTCTACTCCAGTCGATATTGTGCTAAAGTGGTTCATCTGTAAATGCCTCTCTAAAAGGGACAACAGCAGATCCATACTTCTGTCAGTCTGCTTCCTGTATTATTGCCAATTTGCGCATCCCACGAAAAGACTTCACCCCATATAGCACTATTTATGTATTATTCATTTTCAGGTCTTTCATTTTTATATTGTCCAGAATTGCACTGCTGTTTTTCCTATTCTATGTCTGCACCACCCAATCCCCGTCTTAACATGTTCCTTCCTAAACTCCTCCCTCCCTTCCGGATGCTTCCACACTCCATCCCCGTCCAAGGCACAGATCAGTGAGCCCCTGGCAGGAAGGGAGCTCAGAGGCTGCTCTCCATCAGGAGAAGCCCACCTCCTATTCGCTGACTCCCCTCCCATAATCCTTAGTCTTTTCTATTTCTGCTCATTATATTTGAATGATAATTGTGAAAACAAGCAGCCGTGAATGAAGCAGCATCCCGTACAAGACCACGGCATCCATCCGCACAATCTGGAGTTCGTTCTCCTTTCATCCTCCAGACCAGCGTTTCCCAATTCGGTCCTCGGGGACCAACAGTCGGTCCATGTTTTTGCTCCCTCCGAGCTCCTGCAAGCTAACCAGCAAGCATTAACCGAGCAAAAATGTGGACTGTCTGTGGGCCCCTAAGGACCAGATTGGGAAAAACTGCTCCAGAGGACAATCCAGCTTGTTATTTACATTTTAAAATAAATATTATCTGACATTTACTGTATAATAGCCCTGTAATGGTCGATAATTTTCCCTCTTAACCATTTCAGGTGTGAAATATTTATTAATATTGATTCAAAATATTTAGCCAAGCGAGGAAAGCATGCAGTCACATGGCAGTGTCGGCATGTTTGGGATGCACAATGAGGAACCTCACAGCAGATACAAAGGTATCAGACAGGCAATCGCAAGCTTTTAGAGCATTTTCAAGCATTTCATACGCACTTTGATTCTCATGCACAGTCCTCTAATCCTACCCTGAACCAACTTACTCTAACCAGCTAACTAACCATACCATCTTGCAGGTGGTTTCATAGCATAGAAGCTCAGACCTCTCTTCCGCTGACTGGTGTGTGAGCTATATAGTTACCCCAACAGCCGATTGTATAATCTTTCACTGTGATTAAAGGTTAGAGTAATATATTAAGAGGACAAGCAAATCAGGCTTTTAGCTAGTTTCGTACAGCAGTAAAATACTCTGACAGAGGGATAACGTGTCCCATCGGCCGGAGTCTGGCCGCAGGTTCACCCTGAAATAAGCGTTTTAGCCATATGTTCCAGTGGAATGACCTCACTTCAGTGACTCCGCCTCTTTCCGAGGTGCAGGATACACCCTGCAGTCAACAGTGCAGGCTTGGTGACTTTCAATCCACTGATTCTTTAGCTCTTACATTTGTTCAAAATGGAAGTTTTGCAATTTTGGCAGCAAAGATACAAAACCCCAGAAACACTGCAGTAAACAAAAAAAAGAAGAAATTACTGCCCCATATATTAAGAAAATGACTCTAGGAAAGGATGTATGAAAACTGGACTGTTAGGCCTGTATGTATGACAGAAGTAATGCGTGTAGACATGACTTTTGGTATTTCTGTTGACATACAGTATAGATCTTCAGATCTTCTGACAATGTGAGGAGATTAATGGGTGAGGTGAAGTGGAGCTTTTCAGTCTGCACTGCACTGGGGAGAGAAGATCTAGTCATGTTACTACAGATAAATGTAAAAGAAGGTTAGAGAACTGTGTCGGGATCATCAAACATCCTGGGGGGGGGGACAGTTATCAGCACAGTGTGGGAGGCCCTCAGGGACTCCTGAACCCCCCACGGTCACAT